GACTCCGCACACTGCCCAGCGAGCAAAGATGACTGCAACTCGAAAAAGTGCGGCAACTGCGGTGGCAATCACACTGCTAACTATAGAGGTTGCCCAGTATATAAGGAGCTGAAAAGCCGCATCCACCAGAGAGGAATTACTGCCCGCACCCAAAATAAAACGTTGATAGCCTCCAGATCAAACCCTGAAGTATTCTTCTCGACTGCAGCCAGATCCCCACTAGGACCCATAAACTCTGACAAAAATGTGACATACGGAAGCGCTTTAAAATCAGGACGGGCTACCCCTGCCTCAAAAGGTTCATTTCTGCAATCAGCATACCAAGAACCGAACACGGCTCAGCAGCATCAATTTCCGGAGCAGCCAAAAAGCAACTTTGTAGCTATGATATGCAGTCTACAACAAATCCTTACGGAACTATGCAAGACTTAATGCGAAACCAAAATCTATTGATTCAAATGCTGGTTTCACAACAATCCAAATAATAACTTTCCTACGGATATCTACGTGGAACGCTAACGGCGTTTCGCAGCATAACCTTGAGTTAGCTCAATTTCTACTCGTCAATCAAAACGACATAATAGCTTCTTTCAGAAGCACACCTTACAAACAAATACTATTTGCAACTACGAGGATATTCGTTCTACGGAATAAATTATCCAGATGGTAAAGCACATGGTGGTACTGGAATTCTAATCAGAACCCGTATTAAGCATCACTATCATAACAAATTTGCAACTAAATACTGGCAACCACAACTGGCAACTTACACTAGCCCCCCTCGCTTCACTATAGCTGAAGATGAGTATTTGCAGTTTTTCAACTCACTAGGAGACCACTTCATAGCAGCAGGAGACTACAATGAAAAGCAAACACACTTGAGAGAGGAAAGCAGCTCTATAATGCATTTATCAAAGCCAAGAACAAGCTCGACTATGTTTCTTCTGGCACACCAACATACTGGCCGGTAGACCCAAAGAAAGTTCCCGATTTAATAGACTTTGCGATTACCAAAAATATTCCTAAAAAATCTGATAAGCGCCGAATGCCTTTCGGATCTTTCATCTGATCACTCGTCTGTCCTGTTTATTCTACTCAGACATCCAGGAACATTGGAAAAATCATTAAAATTGACCTCACAGAAAACCAATTGGGTTAAGTACAGAAAATATATTAGCACACACATTGAGCTAAGTCCTTTGTTAATTCACTGGAGTCTGTACTCGTCTCTGCAGCTCGAGCTTCAACACCTCAAACTATAAATACGCAATGCAATCAAAAGAAGACAAATCTACAAATCGAACAGCTCGTCCTCGAATAGCGACGCTTACGTCGAGAGTGGCAATTCCAAGGATCGCCATCTGCTAAGCAAAGCTTAAGACATACCTCTCGTCAAATTACCTAAGCTCTACAGCAAGGAGAAGCATATGTCCACCGCCACTACATAGAGCAATTGTCAACTTCTAGTAAAAAACACTTACTATGGAGAGCTCACCCAACTCTGAGCTCACCGAAAGAAACCGTGATGCCTATTAGAAATCCCACAGGCGGCTGGGCGCGCAGCGATGCAGACAGAGCCAGCACGTTTGCCAACCACCTTAAAAATGTCTTCCAACCAAATCCTGTCACTAGTGCGTTTACTTTGCCGACTTTACCATATGAGCCTCAGCTTCAACATGAGCCAATTGATTTTCGCCCAAACGAAATCGTTAACATCATCAAAAATCAGCTGAATCCGAAAAAATCCCCGGGCTGCGACCCATAACTCTCAAACTGATCATTGAGCTCCCATACTGCGCCGTTTGCATTTACACCCAGCTTTTCAATGCCATCGCAAAACTTGGCCACTATCCAGTGAGATGGGAAAAGTCAATGATAATAGTGATAGCAAAGCCGGGAAAAGACTACACAATCCCGACGTCGTATAGACGTATAAGCCTACTTTAATGCTTATCTAAACTCTTTGAAAAATGCGTATTGACTCGGATAAACGCATACCTAAGACTCCAGGAAGGAATCCCGTCAACAATTGAGCAGGACAACCGGATAACATCTGAAATTCGGAACGCGTTCGAAAAACGAGAGTACTGTACTGCCATATTTTTAGATGTCTCTCAAGCATTTGATAGAGTCTGGCTAGAAGGTCTAATGTTCAAGATCAAGACAATGATCCCCTACAACACCCACAAGCTCCTAGAGTCTTACCTTTACGAGAGAAAATTAGCTGTGAGGTGCAACACTGCTATATCTGATGATTTCACTGTTGGAGCTGGAGTTCCTTAAGGTAGTGTGCTAGGGCCAACATTATATGTCCTCTACACAGCAGACATCCCGACAAGCACACGACTAACAACATCTACGTTTGCTGATGATACAGCTTTTCTTAGCCGCTTAAAAAGCCCGATGCAAGCCACTGCGCAGCTAGCTCTTCATCTGGTCGGTGTTGAAAATTGGCTATCAGATTGGCGAATTAAAGTGAACGAACACCCTGAACAGGCAAAACTGCCCGCCGCTTACGTTAAACAACACTCTACTCCCACAAGCAAACGAAGTGACAAATCTAGGAGTACACCTCGACAGAAGACTCACATGGCGCCGGCACATTGAAGCCACAAGAACACACCTAAAGCTAAAAGCCAGCAGCCTTCATTGGCTTATCAACACTCGGTCTCCCCTTAGCCTAGAATACAAAGTCCTGCTGTATAACTCGGTACTAAAACATATGTGGATGTACGGCTCCCAGTTATGGGGGAATGCCAGCAATAGCAATATTGACATAGTCCAGCGAGTTCAGTCGAAGATCTTGAGAACAATCACCGGGACACCGTGGTACGTTCGCAACGAAAACATACATCGCGACTTAAACATTCTACCAGTCAAAGAATTGATCGCAGAACAGAAGGAAAAGTAATTTACCAAGCTATTGTTGCACCCTAACCATCTGGATGGAGAGGTCTAACAAGGTTGAGCAACTAATCACGTCTTTGTCGCAATGACTTACCCACCCAGCGACCGACTTGAGGGACGGTCAACCAGAATGCAGTTTTAGTATACTGTTAGTTAAATTTTAATGTTAAGATTCGTCAACTTACTGGAAGTCTCAAAATGAAGAGAAGATTCAAAAAATAAAAGCAAAGTTCATAAAAAAAAATAAAAAAATGAGAGTTTATGCAAGACAATCCCCCAAAGCATAAAGCAAAAATTTTACAGAAATGGTTTAGGGACCAAAAAGGACCTGGATTGGACTGTCCAGCTCAATCGCCGGATATAAATCCGAATGAGCATTTATGGGGACACCTAAAACGTCAAATTGGAAACTTCAAACCCCCAAATAAGGAAGCATTGTGCCAGAAAGTTCAAAGGGAGTGGTACGCTAAAATAGTATTTATGAAGTTTCAACGTTTTGTTTCTAACATTTTTTCCAGGGTAAAAAATGAAAATTAATTCTTATTCGTACATACTTAAGTATATGTTAAAAAAATATATATGAGATATATTTACTTTGTTTTTTATGAAAATAAAAAAAAACTATGAAAGCGAGTAAGCCGTTTGGTCAGCCCAACGGCACACAATAAATGCTCCTTACAAACAAACGTTACATCCGTAATATAATTATTAATATGTATCCGTAAAATGATTAATCCGTAAATAATTAAAAATTAATTAATAATTATTTTTTAATAAAAAATAATTAAAAATTAATTAATAATTATTTATTAATTGTTAATTTAATAATTATTTTATTGGTCCACGATAAAATATTTCCAGTCAAAAGATTTCCTAAAAATTGTGATCTATACTCGTAAAACCTTCTCCAAACACTGCAGTGTGACCGTATATTTTCAAGAATTCAAATTGGTTCCTAAATTACAAATTGGTACTCTAAATTCAAAAGCTAGTAGCGAAGCATATTCCATTGTTTCGAAATTCCCACTCACCGAAAACAAGCGATTGCAGATGAACAGCCACCTACCAAAGCTCACGCTATCATTTTGGGAGCAATCCATCCAAAATAATGCCGAAATTCCTACGTGCTTGATTTCTCTTTGACTGAGCCCCATCAACTCCCTTAACGCCTTCGATAGCTTCCGATCTGGCAATTCCCACCACGTCCAGTCCGAAGACACAAATAAAATGGCAGAAAATAAATTCGTTGTTCACGACAAAAGGGCGTCTAATTTCTGGAGGCAGTGTTAAGCGGCAGTTTTCTCCAGATGTCCACATCTCCCTTGCTCGCACTGCCCTAATAAAACAACCACGCACGTCGCGCAACATCACAAAAGTACTGCCGTGTTTTTCATACTAGTTTCCTTGGGACCCTAAAATTTCAACGATAAAGCTACCACCGCCGCCCCAACATCTTTCATATTTATTGTTTAATAATGTCTGCCTAGGCCTAATTTTTTAAAACCAATACCAACAGATGACGAGCATAGAACGCTGAGAATCGTGTACGCCATCAACGGAATGATAGGTTTAGGCTGGGATCCAGATACCTAGACTACGTGGCTAGTATTTACTTTAGATTTATTTCACAATTTTTCTACTTTCCGTATGCTCACAATGTTTTCGCTTAGCTTAGCCTTAGACAGGTTCTCTCTATGTCGAAAAGTATTGATGTGTTGCATCCCATTTCTGGGATACACATTTAATATTTTCCTCTGTAGGACTTAAGATAGGGTTGTTTCTGCTTATAAAAATTTAAAGACAAAATAAAACCAGCAACAGTTTCTGCATAGAGCGAATATGTTATGTTTACAGTCCGCGGAACTTTCCGCACTTGTTTTTAAATGTTATATGTAAGGTTTCCGCAATAGATGGACCCCACCTTCCACATCAACCGCGCTCGCATACTTTTTTATACTTTGAGTAGTTTCGTTAGTACCGACTCCGAGTTCAAACGAGGTAACCACTTGAGTCCCACGTCGCCGACGTAAGCTATGAGACATAACGCAACCAGAACTTTAAAATTTCTATCCAAAAAATAAACCATTGTTAACTATACTTGGATATATCTTAGTTTATTTATAAATTTATCAGATTAGTGTTCTAAATATTTAAATAATATGATATTTTACAATTAAGTTGGGTAAATGCGGTAAAATCTATTTTGCTTTGGGAATATAAAAACGGGGGTGGAGCAGAAATATCGTCGGACGGAACTTGATGCAATTCTAACGTAAATTAATACAAATATCATGCCAAAACCGGTCGATGAGATTTTTGAGCCAACCCCGTTAATAAGCTTTTTTTAATATATTAAATACTCTTCATGTAGTTAATAATCATATAATAATGAAGAAATCCAACATTTTATAATTGTTTTCTAACCATTTCCGAAAGCAAGGCAGATTCATTACTTGACATGACCGAATTAGAATCCTTAGCCCCAAATGAACTGCTTGTTGGGCGCTGAATAGTCCTGTCTTCATAGCGAGTACGTCCCTGTGAAGCCATGGGTCTATTGAGGGTATTGTTTGCATTATTTGGTGAACTTGGCGGAGTGTTATGTGCAGCAAAAAGTTTGCTAATAAAATCTTGCTCTTTCCAACCGTTTTTCTTATAAGCGTCACGTAATTCGTTATGTTGCCACATGGAGTATAAAACTTGACTAGCAAATTTCAATACACAAGAAGTATATTTTTCTTTTCGTCTTGTTATATTCATAAGTCGATCAACCCCGCCTGAATCTAACAGGGACCGTGAAAACTCTGGATTTTTCTTTAAAACCTCATTAATTGTAGCCAAAACAGCTGTTATTGTATCATCTGACGTGTTCTGGTCATGTTGTATATTTCCAGATGGAAGTTTTTGAACTAAGTCTCGCATTGCGTACTTTCCAATAAGTTCTTTGTTGCGTTGATCAATAGCTAAATTGCGCAGGGCTGTGGCAACTGCACATACTACACGATCCACTTCCATTCTAAGGAGCTCTACAAGAATCGGTAGACCTTTCTCTTTGCGTACTGTTGCGCGAATATCAATACTGGGTTGCCAGTAACATGCAGATAAATTTTGAATTGCGCCTGCAGCGGCTTCTAGGGTTTCTGGATTAGAACAACTTTGCAATAATGACAAATAGTATTGAACTACTTCAGGCTGCCATAATTGTTCATACCCCTTATTTACTTGGTTACGTGTTGCCGAACTTTTAGAATACTCTGTAGAAATATGGTACTCGTGTAACGCCTCGGAATTACTAGAACCCTCTTTCTTTTTTTTGCTTGTTCCAAAACAGCCCAAGTTTTCTCCTGAAAATAAAAAAAGGTTTGACAAATACATTAGTTAGAACAAGAAGACACACTATAGTCGTCGAGTGCCTCGACTATCAGATACCCGTTACTCTAAAATAAAATTCCAGGGCCTTCGATTAGCACACACCAACCATCCCAGAGACTGGGGACCCAGTGGTCGGTAAAAATACTAGTGACTTTGTCAAAGCCTGATTAACATAATTAGTACGACTCTCAGCATGTAGTTAGGTATTAAATAATAAAATCTATTTAAATCCAAATTTCGTAGCTTTTATAGTTTTTGAGACCTCAGCGTTCATACGGACAGAAGGACATCGTTAGATCGACTTGACTAGTGATCCTGATAAAGAATAAACGTAGAATTGCATGTTTAAATTATGTATTAGTTACCAAAAACAAGATTTTAAAAATGTTCATTCCAAATAAATAAAATATTTTTAATTTACCTTTAAAACTGTTGTCCCTTCCAACTTTTACATTAGTCTGAAAATAACAGTTATATTCTGACTGAAAAACAAAAGTATTTTGGTAGCTTTTATTCAATGACTTATAATTAAAATTATAAAAATAACTACTATTTTTAGACTAAAAAAATAAAAATTTAATGTAATATCTGTTATTCAAAGTCTTTTACTGAAAAAGTCAATAAATAATAGTTATTTAACGACCAAAAATATAAAGGTCTAAAATATCAGTTGACAACGGGAATGACACACAGATCTCGTCTGTTGGAATTCCGTTGGTTTTTCTTGTTGTAAAGCATTTTCGGAGTCATGTGTATGGGAATTCATGGATGACTTTAAATGGTCAGCACTAACAAATTTGTTTCAACGGTCAATAGTGGTTCCTCTTCTTTCAAAGAATCATGGCATGTTTACGAAATCATAGATGGTTTAAAATGGCTAGTACTACTACTACCAGTACTTGCTCTGAAGAATTCACGGTCGCATTGAGTCGAAGAATTTGCGTGCAAGTACAAAACGCAACATTAAGAAAATAAATAAATAAGTTTAAACATAAAAATTGACAGTTATTTAGACATTTATTTTTTCAGTCTAAAAAATTGTTATTTTTGACTTTTATTTTTTAGTCAAAAAATAACTGTTATTAAAAGCAATTAACTTTTTTGGAAAAGGTCATGAAGTTACCGGTATTTTCTGACTTTTATATAAAAGTTTTTGTTCTTCTTTTTACTTCATGACCATATCCAAAAGTTAAACCATTTTAGGTCATTGGGGGATTGAATAGGCCAAATAAAATATGTTTTATGAATCCATTCCATATGAATTATCATATAATTATTGTAATTACTTTTTAGTTTTCTAAAAATCGGACAGCTCTGTACACACAATGCTCCCACGGGTACTTCAGTGTGCGGAAACTAGCTGCCTTTCTGGATTTTGTCTATGTTATATGCTTATACTTAAATCATTGCTCAATTAGTTGTGCTGAACTGGTAAAAGTGACCATTATTTGTTGTCGTCGGCGTACGATTAGGTATGTGTAGCAGTTTTTCCGCTTAAGTGACGCGTTTTTTAAAGGTGGTAGAACTAAAGTTTCTGAAATTGACCCGTCCAAGACCTTAAAATAGAGTTTGGAAGCGCCAAACAACATTCAGGCCCACGCAACGTTAGTTAGTTTTGTTGAGTTATACCATATTATGTAAAGTTGAGAAATCTCAAGGGCTATTTAGCTTAAAGTTTAAACAGAAACAACAAACAACAGTTTTTTGGGTATAACTTTCGAATAAGAGCTTAACAAATGAGGTGGCTGTCATGAAATCGAAAGGCCCCCACAACTCAAATTTTTAATTTTTTTTAACTGCTCTTTTTATCAAACCAATTGATTTTCTTAAAGACCATGTCTTTAATCCTTTAATGTTTTACGATACCTTTCGATCAGAGTAATACTCGCTAATCAAAGCAGATTTTCAATTCTGTTGCTATATATATAGTAGTCAGCTTCGCACACTCTCTTGGAACGCTGCGTCACTACGTGGACTGCCGACCACAGTGATATAATTTATTGAAATTTAGGAACCAAAAAAATGGACTACATTTTCCTGATCAAAATCTTGGCTCACTTGTATTGTAAAAACCTATTTCTTTAGAACTTATTCGAAGAGGACCTCTCAGGAGCTAGCTACAATAAAATCTACCAAAATTACCATTATTTATAAAGTTTTTTTTATATTACCTCATAACAACATTACTTAACAACATTATTTATATTACCTCTTAAAGTAGGACCCTTAACAAAAAATATTTCACAGAAATGTTCCACCTCTTATGATCAGTTATTATCGATTTTTGAGTTAAGTTGGTAATATACGAGAAAAAGTGAAAAGGTTTCTATTGTAACAGACATTTTAAAATTGGCACTTTATTAATTGGTCCGAGTTGCCTAACTTTGAAATTTCAGAGTTTTGATTTTTTCTATGTAAGAACCGTACGACCGATACAGGATAGAATAGTTGCAAGATTTTGAGGTACTAAGAAATATTAAAATCTAAGTTTTGACTTTAAGTTTAAATTTTTTATTTGCATGAAGAAACAATACATTAATTTTATTATTATGCTGAATTTTAATGCGGCTGTAAGAGGGCACAATGTCCTTGAGTGGAGCCAAGCCTCTATACGAATCACAATTGTCGACAGCTCTTGAGAAGTTATGCGAATATTTTCAACCCCTAGTGACAGATGGTATTTGTCAGAGTTGAAGGGCCACTCAACTTTCATGCCTTCTCGGGTTGCTTTAGTTTTGATTATGAAGTTTCCCACAATTTCGACGCAGGTCGCCCAAAAGGGGCGACATGGGGGGTTTATTGAGGGCTTGGGCAGATTATCTATGAGTGGCACATATCTTTAAAGGTCTCATCACGCGACCGCTCGCTCTTTAAAATCTAGAATTGTAAACTTATCTGCACTAACGTCAGCCAATCCTGGATGATTAGATCTGTAAAGGGATGCGATGACGGGATGGATATTAGTCTCTGATTATCTTTCGTTGGATTAAATCGTGTGTTCGCTTCTTTCGGTTCTTCCGCTCCATCCACTAAACGTACTCGCAACAATGCAAGAGCTGCCAGCGAGCGCATCTCGGACGTAAATTCGCCACATCTGCTGAAGCTCGTGAAGGCCCGCTTGGAGGAACAGACCTAGAAAATTAAGTCGGCGTTTGGGAAGCTGAACAACGCATGCTAAGCAGTCTTATGGACCGCTTGGACATAGTTTCGGGGGAAGTGAAGCAGATGGAAGCTCGTGTCGTGACACTGAAGGGCGAGGTTTCCGATCTTCGCTCCATGAGTAAACAACTGGGTAACTGGAAGAGATGTTGGATAGAGAGGTGGCGAACCTACAAGCAACGGTTGTGAGGTTGGGTGCACTGGAAGCCAGACTGGCAGCGCAATGCAGGGATAACTGAGAGATCATGGTGTCCCTTTGGTCGAAGGTCTTTGGGAAGATCTCAGAACGCTTTTCCACAAGCTATGCTTTAATCATCAGCTGACTCCACTACCAAGTGTTTCTGATATCTATCGAGCACGAAAATCACAACATTCACACATGTGGATCCAGTAATAATTGCTAAATTGATAAACGCGCGCAAAAAAATCAAGCTGTTTTGTCAAATTGGAATGTACCAGCGCGAGCACGAAGCCATGCGTTTACTCGACGCGGCTCTGTGCATGTACGCTGAACTTGCAGAGAGGGTGTCTATTGCATCAAGAGTATGGAGGAGCTTTCTCCTAAGCGATATAATTATGAAAATAATTTACTGTTAGAAACTTGTCATTTACGTTTTGAATATGGAGATTGCGCCCCTAATAATCTATGATAACATCAATACATGATTCGGATGTTTGTTCCATAGCTAGTGCAATGTTAAAAGCAGTGAGTATATATAAAAATGGTCTCAAAATCATTCATATAAATGGAGAAAGTCTGTTAAAGAAGATTGACGAGCTAAGATCCGTTTTACTTATTCTAATGACGGTCAGTCATTATCATCAGATCATCAGTCTGATGTGATCTGTGTGTCCGAGGCGTGGTGCGTACGGGATTTATGTGATTTCTATATTGCTTGTAATGGCTTTAATGTGTTCCGCTTGTATTGGGCATGCAGGAGGTGTTGCTATATACAGCTGCGGCAACAAAAATAGCACCAGTGTGTAGGCAATTCTTCTTTGTGCTACAGAATGGTAGTTTTTTGCAATATTTTTATTCTGTTTGTAAGGGTAAGTAGGGTTACATATCTATTAACTAAAATAAAGGTGGTTACACTCACAATGCGGATGCTTTTTTAAATTTCTATACATTTATTAAAAAAGTAGCAAAGTTATGCGGCAACAAAAATAGCACCACTTAAAGAAAAGGCTTAAAAAACTTAAAAATAATGCGATTTGAAATTTTTGTTGATTAAAATGTATGATTTCATACATCTTAAGGTAAAAAATATTGTTCTAAAGCTTGGACTGCAACAACAACAACAACAACGACCGACCTTGACGTCACTAGACATCAGAATCTTCCCTTGGCAAAATTGTTGTCTGGCTCTTTCAAAATAGCTCAAGGGCAGTTTTTTTTCTTCGGTTTTGCATTAAAAACATAGTTCTTTAACATTTCTGCAAAGATTTTCGATGTGTTTTAGTTCTGGGGCTTGTAAGGTCCCCGTTATACCATTCAGCTTAAAGGTTTTAAAACTTTGGACGACTTTCTGACTGATTTTTTTGGTTTATAACCGTGGTAAAGCTTCCAAAATAAATTAATTTTGTATAACGAATAAAATTGCATAACAATTTCTGAGCTATCAAGGTGAACATGTTGATCCTGTATGGGTTTACATTATGATATGGTACCAACATTATAGTACGATAATATGCCCATACCATGATACTGGCTTCACCATTTTTATTCTTTGCAAATGTGAATTGGGGACTCAATTTTGGATATGTAGGTTATCTGATGTGAATTTAAAGTCTTTTTCATCTAAACATGAGC